TATTCAGGACAGATATCCATCTTTTACATACCTTAGGCTTGAGTTGGCTTAATCCTGAAGCCACGTGGAACTTGTAGACATTTGTGGTAATCTGAGAGAAAGAGTCCATGGAGGTTCAAGTTTGTCTCCCTTTTCCTCAATCTTAGTAACTCGAAGTAAATTTTTTATCCTTATCCTATCAGCGTCTTGTTCTGTGTATTGAAAAATCTCTGCTTGTTCGGTAAGGCCTCCTGCTAAGGCAAAGAAATCATCCATAGTTTAATTTGAATGTTATCAATCAGCTTATAAATTCTCCAGGTAACTAAAACAGTCCCCCTGCTGGCAGCTCCTAGACTCCTTTTGGAGTGCCAGGATGACTGGAGCTGCTGCTTATCAGTCCAGGTAAGTCCAGGGCTCCTGTTTGCCACGGTCGTACTAGGTACGACCGCGGTCTTTAACAACCACTTTTTTGTACTAACGTACATAATACGTCCACGGTCGTTAAGGGTATATACATGGATATATATATATAATTTCATTCTAAGTGTATTTTGATATAAATATATATATATGTATATATATATATATCATATATACATTTATATATACATATTTTTTATTTTATTTTTATGACCTTTTATTTATTTAATTTTTTTTTTAAAATACTTTTTTTACCAGCAGGGGAACTGCCTGTCAGTTCATGCAGTCCCCTTGCAGGCAGCACTGTGGGGATTGATCACCCGGTGTTCTCCAGTGAGGGGGTATTGCAGCGATGCCTCAACATCGAGGCATCGCTGCAATACCATTAGAGCTGCTGGAAGCAATCATGATCGATTCTAGAGCTCTAATTCCCCTAGGACGTATTCTTAAGGACCATTTTTTGTCGGATGTACCTGATACGTCCATGGTCACTAAGGGGTTAAACAAGATCCTAAAGTTAAAATATGATAGATAGAGTAAAGTGAGAAAAGGAGAGCAGGAGAAAGTGTCTTGTAATAATCAACAAGTATAAAGGGTATTGAAGAATCCCTATAAAGGTATAGAAAATACCTATATAAAACCTAAGTGTTCTGCATGCACAAAACAATATGTTTAGTATAGCCGAAGAAGAGCAAAACATCCGAGGTGCTCAGGATATCAGTTACACAGCAGGCAGCATACAGAACATGTAGCCTGTGTAGGACAGTAAGTGAAAATATAGTCAGAGATAGGTAATAGCCAGTGGGGGTTCTATGAATTAAACCCCTCAGATAGAGTAGTGGGAGTAGACATGCATCTAGTTGAATGGAGGCATAACCCCACAATAAAACCAATGGCAGCCAAACCCCACTCCTAAACCAGCCATGCTGATAACCCTCCGTAACTAGTAGGCTATCCAGAGAAATGGCCAGAGCTATCCAACCTAAACACCTAGACTATCTGCTGCTTCATGGCAGCTAAAATATTCTATGTAGCTTGCCCTTCATGTTTAACATCAAAAGCTGCAGCTAACACAAATGGATAGACAAACTATTCTCCCCCCAATAGAAATGTAAACTAAAAGAATCAGTGCATTGGCACACTAAGTAGCTTGACACGCGTTTCGGCAGTAAATCCTGTTTTTTCTTGTATATTTGTAATGTGTGGGTAGAGGGGATTCCCCACAGGTGTTTTGAGCTTGCATTCACTGAGTCTTGTATATTGTATCAGTGTAATGATATATTTTGTACATGTCTTGAAGTAGGTGGCATGGTCGTGCACAACATAGTCAACACTGTGCCATACTGGAGTAGCTGGTGCCAGTACTTGGAGGTAGGAGCTGCGTAGGCCTGAGGAAGTCCAAGTAGGGGGCAGTAGTGCGAGGTACCAGTAGGAGTGTTGCGGCCTCAGTGCTCCAGATGTGCAATCGGACTTCTACAGATGAGTGAACCTGAAGTGCATCTGAACCAGGCGGTCTCTGCCCTGTGGAAGGGGCGGCCTGAAAATGTATAGGCCGCTTAATCCCTCCCATATATATATATATATATATATATATATATATATATATAACCTCCAAAAAGAAAGCCAGCACTCAAGGACTTGAACGTGAAAATAATAGGCGTTTAATCCAAATTGTCAACTGCTGTGAACTGAAACGTTGACAATTGAGTAAACGCCTATTATTTTCACGTTCAAGTCCTTGAGTGCTGGCTTTCTTTTTGGAGGTTGTATTTTTGTGCAGCTGAGCACTGGGCCAATATTTGAAGGAGAGCTGGAGTGCAAAACTTCTATCAAACTGTATATATATATATATATATATATATATATATATATATATATGTAAAAATCCACAATACCAAGGAGATATGAGCACTCATGGATCAGTGTGAGATCCCAAATGGGGTCACAGCAGACCAGTCATTAACACAATATTCAGGGATAGAGCAGCATTTTTTGAAGATGAAGCACTCTTTGGAATCAATGAAATGTATTGAGATTGGTATGGTTCCACTTCTGAGAAGAAAAAGTGATAGGCTCAACTTTTGTTGGTACGTGGGATCAGGATTCAGACTCTTAATACACTCTGACTGCATGGCCTGGTAAACTATAATAGGTTAAAATATAATAACCTCTATTTAGTTCTATTGGCAAAAATCAGTTGAAATGTATTGACTGTTTTCAGAAGATATTTTTATTGAATTTTGCATGGACTTAATGTCATGCTAAATTCAAACAGCCAAATCAATTAAATGGATCTGGTGGTGCAAATAAAACCATAGTTAAATATGCCTAGAGCAATATTTTATGTCTGCTACCACTATACATTACTGACTGCAAACACACGTTTAAGCATACACATTACATTAATGTGCTTTACTCTGTGGCCCTGACCAATGAGATATGGAAAGGAGGAGACGTAGGCAGAGCCTCAAATTGTGGGAAGGGTTACCCGGCCTATAAATATACAGGCCTCCCCTTTCTCTGGGCCGATACTTCCTGGTTCAGTACAGAACTATCTACTTCCGGTTCAAAGGTCATCAACACAAACTGCCTGAATTCCAATAAAAAGCTGGTCTTGGCCTTGTGAGGCGTATGCAAATATTTATTTTACCTCACTCGAGTAAAAACAACCGCCTCCCTCAAAGCTCATGGGGCATCGCAGCGACTTTTCCTGTTGCTGTTCTCGTTTTTGTTGTTGTTTTTTTTACAACAAAACCGTAAGTTTGTTTGTTCATCCCACGTTGGGCCACGCTATCACTGACATTCAACATGTATTCAGCCCACATTCAGCCCTTCACTAACTATGGTGGCTCTGCAGTTCAGTTTGTTTTCATACTTAGCATCACAGTGATACCTCAATTCTGTTCATGAATTCTGCTTGCTGACCTTCGGTCTGCCACATAGTATTTCATTATATGCAACAGTTAGTCAGTTAGTCACCCTGCATTTTAACATGTAATAAATGATGTGCCATATATTCAGTTTTTCATATTTGCAGCTTATTATTGTCGGCACACATGGCCTTATTTACATGTGTCAGCTTTGAGCAGATCAACATTTGTTACTTTTGTTCACCAGGCCTCTTCCAACTTCAGTACCTATATGTATTCTATATATTTGCCATCTAGGTAGTCAGGCACTTATTGGGCCTGCATTGTTTATAATTTTATCACATGACAAGAGGCTTCGTATTTTGCTTAAGTCTCTCTTTACTTAAGCTCCACAGCAGCACAATTTAACATAGCAACAGTGAGAACCAATCAGAAACAAGTAACACACAATAAGACTCTGCTCTCTAGGCCACTCCTCCTCTTTCTTTGCTGCTCTGCACCAGAACAGGTCAGAGTGTGCCACTGTCTCCTGCATTTGTGGGTTTCTGTGGTGTATTACTATTTTTATATTATATATTGTATTATTATTATTATTATTATTATTATATTTACTTCAATCACTTTCTGCTACCTATTTTTCCTATACTGTGTTTGACTTTATCTTACTTCAATCTATACTTATGTTTTATTTGTCTTATTTCTATAAAACCGTCTGGTAGATTTTATAGTTTCTTCAGAATTTGCTTTTGTGTATTGTTTCCGGGACCTCGGAAGACTTAGTGCTGATCTGAGTTTTCCCATGCTTTTGGGTCTGCGGAGAATACCTCCATTGATCCATTGATCCAGTTGAGTCACTGTGGCCATCTTGTGTGAGATCCTAGTGGCCATTTTGGACTCCGGCGGCCATTTTATCTCATTGCCCCGAGCCGCTCAGGTTTTAACCAGCGCGGCTTTATCCATTTCCTCCACGACTCGCGGCTGAACACCGCAAATCGGATTATAGTTCTGCGTTTGCATTCCGGCTCGCGGATAGGTAATACCACAAGTCAGAATTGAATGCTTAGTTTTATAATTTAACATTTACCCACATGCCAGCACGCAGTTCATCACCGCAAGTCACTTTTTGTCAGTTGGTCACTTGGCTGGCATTTATATTTTGTGAGTGAATTAGATCTATACTGCAACACACTTGGGACTGCAGCTTTATCTAACTCACTCTGCTGATGTTTTTTTTTATATTATGTATTTTTTTTCTCTACTGTATAGTTCTATTATTACATATCGGACCGCTGTTAATTGTCAGAGGGTGAACTCTCTCCCTGTTTCCATTCACGCAGGTTGAGCCCCTTCTATTTCTAAAGGATTACAATCATACAACCCTATTGCAGATATTTCATAAGGAAGTTTTAATTACACTACATTACTCTATTATACTTTTATAGATACAGTGATTTTCCATTTGGGGGTGCGGCCCCCTCGATATAATTACTCAGATTACCAGTTCAAGATTCTGGTCACATGAAATTGCTGTCTCTGTCACAGCTTCCCGATTGGCCTGCTATGTCTGTGCCACCTACCTCCCTACAGGGTATATAAACCCAGAGCATTAATTACTGGGTGAGCCCCAGTTACTTATATACATTCATATATAATTACTATTGTTAGAGACAACCACTGTCCTGTTCTTATACTAGCCTACTCTACCCTTTTAGGTTCTGTTTGACTATCATCATGGATGCATCTGCCCAAGACCAGAGTTTACAGGCCCTCATTAAGGTGGCAGCACGGGTCACACCGCTAGACAGTAAAGATAAGAACCCGCCTGAGACTCCCCACTCAGAGGATTCGGACGACTCTGATGCCTCAAAAGTAAGCCAAAAAGGGGACGGCCGTGAACCCCAGGACAGCAAGGGTAAAGCTCCAGCAAAACTACCTAGACAACTGGAGGCTAAGGAAAAGTTCATTATCCATCTTACCTTGTCAGAAGAGGATGAGGAGCCCTTCCCTACCCCACCCTTAGAGGTGTTGGATGAATTGCAAGCTGATTACTCGGATTCTGAAGAAGAGACGGTTGGCCTGATGTAGACTTGGCACATACACTATACCCGGGACGTCTGCTCCTGGGCAAGACAAATTGTCTACCTTACCAGTCCCGTCAAAGGATACAGACTCCTTCGTAGATGCTCTGGGTCAACCAGTCTTCAATCCATGCCATATCAGGCATCCACTGTCCTCTGAATGGTTCTTACCGGATCACTTGACCCAATACATTTATTTTGGAATAGGAGGCCTCTGGACCGGGAGGTCTGTAAAAGATTACGGGCAGAATGCCCCAGACCATCTCTTCCGGATCAGGTCGCCATGACCCCAGAATTCAATTTAACGATATATACCTACCTGGTCCAGGCAGGCCACGACCATCGTAAGGGAGTTGAACAAAGTCTGAGACTTACGCAGGACAAACTCTTGGATGTCTTGGCACCCCTGGCCACAATATTATTGATGGAAGATGAAGCCCTTTCTCAAGAGATAGCTTTAGATCCATCCATGATTAGGGACTGAGCTCTACGCTCCACTTGCCTGCTGGGCAACGCCAATGTTTCCTCATGTAGCGGAGGAAAGCGGTTCTACTCCGCATTGACAGCAAACTGTCGGACCTTGGATCTAAGGAGCTAGGTCCCTTGGCCAAGGGCCTATTATTCGGAGAGCCTTTTTAAAAAGAGCTTCAAAAACATGTCAATCTTTACACAACACTGAATAAAGCTCAATCCTCCATGCATGAGGAGGGTATCCACCAAAACCCATCTTGGGTTTTTGCCAGGTCTGGCCATCATCGGGGTCGAACTGCCAGACGTTTTTGGCCTTCCAGCCACAAAAGATCCCATTCTCCACCCACATAGCTTCTACAGCTAAAGATCACATCGTGGCAGAGGAAGGAGGGCCCGAGATCGCATCAGATTTCCTACAGGTGAGACATATTCCTCAATACCTTTCATGGCTTTGTCATGCCGGCAGATTGTCTCATTGTTTCAGCAGGTGGAAGACACTGTCTTCAGACACTCGGATTTTGGATACAGTCAGAAGTTACTCACTCAAGTTACATTCTCCTCCCTAGCAACCGGATCGTCCATATCAGACGTTTACCTCGAGGGGACACCAGGATTGGATGCGGAGATTCGATCCCTTCAAGCGAAAGGGGGCAATACAACCTATGGAAGACGACGGGAAATTTTTCAGCTCCATATTCCTGGTCCACAAAAAACAGGAGAATATCGCCAAAACCTTCTTCAAAAAAGTATGCACCAATAATGTTATAGATATGTCCAGTTGTCACCACAAACCCTGGCTACATGGAATACCATGTCCATATGGGTCCAGTACTTTGAAGAACATCCACAGACCCTAATTAAGAAATTTAACCAAAAAAACTATCCTACCAGCGATTTAAAACAAACACTTAATATGATTAGAGAAAAGAATAGCCCAGATCTGTTAGAATATAAAAATAAAAATAAAAATAGCACTATATCATTGCCTATTATTTTTTATTTTAATAACAAAAGCAAAGTTATGAAAAAGATCATTAATATATTAAAACAGGATGACATAAAACAGGATGACCAAATGTTGTCTTCAGAGGGGCACCCAGTTTCAAATCTATCCTCACAAATAATTATACAAAACAACATCATATTCCCCCATCCCCCTGTGATTCCTTTTTAACCATACCAAAAGGTTTTTTTTAATGCAACAAATACATAGTCTGCAGAAGTACAGATAACACCACTAAATCTAAAACCACTACTTTTAAATCCTTAATTACACAAAAAACATACTCAACAAAAGATTTAATTAATTGCAACACAAAAAATTTAATTCCTTTTTTTGGAATGCCCATGCTAAATCTAAAGACCAGGCTAGCAGAACACTAAACACCAGGCTAGCAGAACACTGCCGTAATATTGCTAAGGGAAATGAAAACCATTCAGTATCTAAACAAGACCAGGCTAGCAGAACACTGCCGTAATATTGCTAAGGGATATGAAAACCATTCAGTATCTAAAGGCTTTCTAAAACACAATAAAATGTATAGGTATAGACAAATGTGATATTTCATGGAGAGGAGGTGATAGCAAGAAAATTATGGGAAGTAAAGAAATGGAATGGGCTTACAATTTAAGGACCTTTGCCCAACAGAGTCTTAACATAGATTTCGATCTTTTTAATTTCTTATAAAAATTTTTTTTTTTTAATTCTAATTAATACTTTATAGAAAACTTTTCACTCTATACTTTATTCTTATATATACTTTTTGTAATCTGTTACATAATGTATGCTTCTTTTATTTACAAACCTTTATATGTTATTTATTTAGACCCTTTTACTTTTGAACATTTTACGTTTTACAATTATGTTCCTCAAATTCTGTTCCAGATATACTCTTTCCCTCTTATGTACCTTAATATAATTGTCTCCTATCAAATTCATGCTATATCATATAAATATGTCCCTCTTCATATACATTTATTACTTCATATCTACCATATATACTCGAGTATAAGTCAACCCAAATATAAGTTGAGACCCCTAATTTTATCCCCAAAAACTGGGAAAATGTATTGACTCGAGTATAAGACTAGGGTGGGAAATGCAGCAGCTACTGGTAAATTTCTAAATAAAATTATATCCCCCAAAAATTATATTAATTGAATATTTATTTTCAGTGTGTGTATATAATGAATGCAGTGTGTGTGTGTGTATATAATGCAGTGTGTTTGTATGAATGCGGTGTGTGTGCGTATGAATGCAGTGTGTGTGTGTATGAATGCAGTGTGTGTATGAGTGCAGTGTGTGTGTGTATGAATGCAGTGTGTGTGTGTATGAATGCAGTGTGTGCGTGTGTATGAATACAGTGTGTGTGTGTGTGTGTATGAGTGCAGTGTGTGTATGAATTCAGTGTGTGTATGAATGCAGTGTGTGTGTGTGTGATGCAGAGTGTGTTTGTGTATGTGATGCAGAGCCTTGGTGGGCATTTTTATTATTTTTTTAAAATTATTATTATTATTTTAATATTATTTTTTTGTTTGTTATATTATTAATATTTTATCATTATTTTTTTTAATATTATTATTATTATTATTATTTAAATTTGTATTTTTTTTTGTCCCCCCCCCTGCTTGTTAGCTGGCCAGGGAGGGAGGCTCTCACTCCCTGGTGGTCCAGTGGCATGGGCTGTGTAGGAGGGGGGCTGGCAGAGAGCTGTAACTTACCTTTCCTGCAGGTCTTGTCAGCTCCCTTCTCTCTCCTCCGGTCTGGTCAGATCCCCTGTCAGCTCCCACTGTAAGTCTTGCCGTGTGACTGCCGCGCGGAGCGTTGCCACGGTAACCCGTGGCAACGCTCTGACCCCGTGGCTCTCGCAAGACTTACACTGGAACTGACAGGGGAGCTGACGGACCGGCGGAGAGAGAAGGGAGCTGACAGGAGCTGCAGGAAAGGTAAGTAACAGCTCGCTGCCAACCCCCAACAGGACTGCCGGGCTTGTAATGAGCCCGGCAGTCCTGGTCTGTATTATGGCAGTGTAAGTTGCCATGATACAGACATTGACTCGAATATAAGTAGAGTGGGGATTTTTTCAGCACAAAAAATGTGCCGAAAAACTCGACTTATACACGAGTATATACGGTATGTATAAGATGTTTATTATTAGTTACCACTTTAAGATTTGTTTCTTTCTATATTTAACCATCAATTACTGTATATTAGAGTATTACATGTTCATTATCAGTTACCACCTTATAGCGGTTTGGATCCTGAAATCAAATTATTGGTTAGTTGCCCATTACACTCTTCCCATCACACTCTTCATTATTCACTGTGCTAAATGAGAAAATCAGCAACGATCTGCCTCTTTCACATGCTGGTGTTCTATCCATCAATCTGGTACGTTCAGCCATTTTGGCAGCTCATGTCCCTCTACAGGGATCCCCCATTGGTTAAGATCCCCTAGTGTGCAGACTTGTGCAGACTTCTTCGAGTCATCAAGCTAGATCGACCTCCAGCTCCTAGGTGTACTCACCTCTGGTACGTGTATATAGTCTGCTGCTTCCTACTAAATTGGCCAGACAACTCAAATCTTTCTCTCCGCCGACTGTCAGCGAAATTTACATTACTATTATGTCTTGTCTCTTTTCTTCGGGTTTCAGACGTTAGAGCTTTTTACTGCGATGGATTTACCTTTTTCCTGGAGGGTCTTGCTTTCAAATCTCTACATAATGCTCTATATAACTTAGATCACACACTGTCTAAGTGTATATTAATATATATATATATATATATATATATAATCATAATTATATATATATATATATATATATATATATTAATATCAAAATACATGTAAAATTATATTGATTAAATATATATATATATATATATATATTATATAAAATAAAGAATATGTAAATACAAAAAAAACAAGTCCTGCGCTCAAACTCCTATCACTCCCGAGCGACCACAGTACACATCAGCTCAAATACATACAGTAAAAACCAAAGGAAAAAAGTTACCTGCGCACTTTCCCAAATCTCTATGTATATTTAAACAAATGGACGTTTTTAGTTACCTCCAATGGCCATGAGAGGGTATGCCCACCTGCCACGTCAAGGCAGACCTCTTAGGTGGGTCCTAACTCTAACCATTCACCTTGCTTCCTTGAGCTTCTGGCAAAGACATCTCTAATGAGACAAAAGTTTTTTTATATATATCTACATCCCTACATGCATATTAACCCTTAATCGGGAACAGCATTGTAACAAAGCTGTGTGATGCAAAAGTGAATACTTACTGTACGTATTCGAGCTGATGTGTACTGTGGTCGTTGCTGCCACCCAGGAGTGATGGGAGTTTGAGCGCAGGACTTGTTTTATTGTATTTGTATTCAATTTTGTATCATACAGCTTTGTTACAATGCTGCTGCCTATCCCATTTATATATATATATATATATATATATATATATTGATATCAAAATACATGTAGAACGAAATGATATATATATATCTATATACATAAGTAATATATATATAT